CCCTGTCCCTGTGAAGTGAGATCTAGTTAACAAGTGTTTAAACTCCTCAGTTAGGGTCACAAATTGATTGTTCCTGAGCTTTGGCACTTGCTAATGCCCTAATCTTTTGACTTTGGTTTAGAAAGGTCAACATGGGTCCTCTGGCGGAAACCCTTATTGTGGATTGCCCAACAACGGGAGACTGCAGCAGCAGCTGTTCCTGAGTCGGATGAAAGATCCTCAGTTTGCAGCTGAAGAGCACAATGTGAATTATGAGGTCAGCCCCTCCGTTTAGTCTGCGCGGTGGTGGCTAGCTGCGGCTGAGAGGGGCTGGGAAACCACCCTGCGTTTGGGGAGTGGACTGTTTCTGGGTTTCGCAACGTACCCTGTAAGCTTTGGTACATGCTCCAGTAAATGCGCAGGCAGTTTTTCTCCTTCTTCATGCCCCTCTTGCAGCGGCAGTTGTAAAGAGATTTCTGCTTGAGCGCCTCCATGGCGCTTTTGCACTCGTCTTTCGCCTCCAGGCCTGTCGCCCGGCTGAAGTTGCTCTCTTTGCCGGCTACACACTGCCTCAGTGTCCTGTATTTAGTACTACAGCTCTGCTCCTTGAGACACTGATCACTGGCTCGCACGCAGTCCAGACGGTCCCCGCCAGGCAGCCCGCTCACTTCTGCGGACAAAAGTACATCTAGAGAGAAACAAACCAACAAAAAACCTCTTTTTGAGACACTGGGCTCCGAGCCAGCCCAACCTGGGGAGAGCAACCCACCTCCTTACAAAAGGCACGCACGACCCCTTTCCAAAGGCAGCCGCTCGCCAGCTGGCTCAGCCCGTGGCAAAGCCAGGAGCTTGTTCTGAATGTTTGGGAAGATAAATGGGGTTTCAAGGGGAAGGCTCGCCTTCAAATGTCTTTACGGGAAGTCCACAGAAAGGACAGAGGGTTAATGTGCATGGTAAAATAGTCACTGTTCCTCACATCAGCCTTCCTTTAATTAATAACACTTCCCATGTTCCACTGAGGGGTTAAATATCCGCCCTGGCTTCCCATAAAGGTTTTGCTGTGATTTCAATTACATTCATGCGTAACCCGAGAGCGGAGAAGTCTCCTCGCCGACTGATACTAGCTCTTTTTACTGAAGTCATTTTTTAAAGGCTGTTTGTTATGTTTTCCCCCCTTGTTCCCATATTTCTCGACACGTAGGATGCTTTTTTGGAGAAGGAAACAGCGAACGATATGAGCCACCCTTCTCCACTCCCCAACACCAGTAAAATCCTTCCCTTCCTCACTACACACACACCATGTATTTGTTACAATATTCGCCACCAAGCAGGAAGGCACGTTCAGGTAAACGATGCAATCAATCATTCTTCTCAGGATGACACCCCCCTCCCTACCCCGACCCACAGTGTTATTAAGCTGAAAAGCGACTATTGAAAAGTTTTCCTCTAACTCACTAGAGCCCAATTTAACAACGGGCTATCCAGGCAGTAGCTAAATCTCACAGAGCTTTAAATGTGGTCTGTGCTCATTCAAATCCGTCAAAACTACTGGCAACTTCCCCGTTCACCTTAAACCAGACATCAGACATCGGATCCCATACACGCAACGTTCTGCTTTACGAAACCCTGTAAAGAGAGCCAATGTAAACGCCGGCAACTTACCCATTAAGGGTAAAACGAAGTATAAGGTAGCAAGAAACATCTTGTTCTCTTCAGATGGGTCACCCCGATGAGCTGATGCGCCACCCCAAAGAGGCTCAGCATGTAGATATTCCCAAACAACGGCGGTCCAGAGACTCTGATTTCAGATCCATCGAATTGAAAGAAACCCCCCTCTCCTCCTCTTCACCAATAACATCACCAGCTGCAGCAGCTGGGCGAACGCTGAGATTATTCGCTTAGATTTCAGGTCCGAGCAACCTGAAAACACAAGCAGTCACTTCAAGGAGAGAGCGAGACACTCGCGCGGTGCGGGTGAGACAGACAGAGGCAGAGTAGGAGATTCGGTTGCCTCCTTGGGTGGGCAGCACTTTTTTCCCAGGGAGGGACTCGGAAACAGGGAGGGGAGAAAAAAAATCCAAGCGATTTCCCCCCCCCAGTCCCGCAGCCTGGCTTCCATCAAAGATTGCTCCGGACTGAACACAAAGTAAGTGATTTTCCACTTACACAGAGAGCCTCAGCCGACTCCAAGTCATGGTGTCTACACAGCTCCTGGCTACCCTGAGTGGGAGCCTCTCCCCCCGAAATCTACCTCCACCCTCAAAATCCGCAAGCTGTGAGTGTTTGTCTCTCCCTTGGCGGAGGGAGCGGTGTGAGGGGACCCGGCTGGGGAGCCTTGAGAGCTGACGCGCTGGTTACCTGGGCTTTGGGATGCGCTCACAACGGGCCCCCTCTATTGAATAAGGCGACGCAGGCAGCAGACGGAGTTACTGATCACTCACACGGCGCTGGGTGTCATAATATCCGGGCAGGTGCAGCTGCCAGGCGGCTCCATCAGAGGCGTTAGGCAAACCCGTGCATGGCCAGGAGGGGACTCTGCAGAAAGTTTGGCTGGGGGGGGGGGTTGTTGCCCCCCGATGATCAAAGCAGCCGGGGACAGCTGCTCCGGCCCTGACCTCAGCAAGTCTGTCACTACCAGCGCTCCTCGCCTCCCGAGACACACGGAAAGGTGCCAGCCAGGCGCTGTGCCCCAGGGGTTGGTTTTGTATTGCCCGAGAGACGGTAAATCCGGAGGAGTTCGGAACACGCAGCTGCCGGGACAATTTCCGCTCCGGATCCCCTCTGCCTGACTTGTAATGAATTACTGACAGCAAGGTGGGAGTTCCTCGGTGAACCCTAACTGCGCTTTGATGAGAAGAAACCTCCTCCCCCACCCCCAAGCTGCCTCTTCCTCCTATTCCTTCCCCTCACCCCCACAAAGGGGGGGAGGGGTGGTTGCGGAAAGGTGCCTCCTCCTTCTGCACACACACGAATCAGCTCCCCCCCGCTGTCCGAAAAAGAAACTTTTGGACGTGACTCCAGCGTGGAGTCCGGACTTGGGTTAGCGCCTTTAAGTGCGGCGCATGCTGCGGGAAGAAGCAAACAACAAGGTGTCATGCAGCAAGAAGACCTACTTAAACAAGCATCTGCTGCGATCTCAAATACATGGGCCCACCCTCGGCGAACAGCAGAGACTAACAGAGGGAGTTTGCCTGGGAGCTGTCCGAGAGGAGGTACGCTAAGTGCTGCATTAGGGGGGCTGTGTTCAGGGCCGGTTCTAGGATTTTTGCTGCCCAAAGCAAAAACAATTTTGGGTGCCTGCCTCCCTTATTTAATTACCTCACCCCCGGCCCCGCCTCAACTCCGCCCCTTCCCCAAATCCCCAGCCCTGCCTCCTCCCCCCCCAGGCTCTCAAGCCTAGGAGGGAGGGAGGGGGAGAAGCGGCACCGCGACGCGGCCACTCGGAGTCTCCCCCTCCCTCCCAGGTTTGAGAGCCTGGGAGGGAGGGAAGGAGGGGGAGACCCCGAGCCGCCACGGCGCGCGAAACAGCTGATTCGCGCGCCGCTGCTCCCCCTCCCTCCCAGGTTTGAGAGCCTGGGAGGGAGGGCGAGCAGCGGCGCGTGAATCAGCTGTTTCGCGCACTATGGCAGCAGCAGCAGAGGTGAGCTAGGGCAGCCGGGTCACATTTTTAGGGGCGGCATTCTGACGCTGGCCATGCCGCCCCTAAAAATGTGCCGCCCCAAGCACCAGCTTGTTTTGCTGGTGCCTAGAGCCAGCCCTGGCTGTGTTGGTGAGTAGCTGAGTGTCTGCTGCTGGGTCAGTTTGACCGTGTGCTTGATTGCTTGCTTGTTTATTTGAAAAGTGTGAATTGGGAGTGCTTTGTTCCAGGTGGGCCTTGAGTGGGCCTGACTGGTATATAAGGGCAGTCAACAGCGAACCAGCTGAGCGGCGAACAGCAGAGGCTAACAGAGGGAGTTTGCCTGGGGAGAGCTCACTGAGGCTTTCATCTGCAGGTTCCTCTGAGTAGGTCCTGGAACAGTTGAGGAAGCTCTTAAGAGGACAGTGATATGGAAAGTGAGCGATCAGCTGTTGTAACCTGCACAGGTTGTGCCATGTTTGTCTTTCTTCCACAGGACAGAAGCGACTTTGTCTATACAAAGTGCAAGCTGGTCTCCATATTGGAAGAGAAGGTTCGAGGGCTGGAGAAACGAGTATCGACTCTGCGTTGCATAAGGGAAAATGAAGATTTCCTGGACAGACGTCAGGAGATGCTTGCACGGCCACAATGCTCTGAAGATTCAGAGCAGGCGCAGCAGGGACAGAAGGATTGTGAAGAGGTTTGGCAGCATGTGACCTCCAGAAGGAGAAAGCGGAGCATCCATGCACCAATGGAGATACAGGTGAGCAATCGTTTCCATGTTCTCTCTACAGGTACTAATGCGGAGAGTGGACTAGATGACCCATCTGAGGGAAGGGAGCAGAAGGAGACTCCACCAATTGGAAGGCAAAAGATGCAGTGTCCTACGGATGGGGGTTCCACGACCACCACTCCCAAGAGGAAGAGGTGGGTGGTGGTGGTGGTTATGGTCGGGGACTCCCTCCTCGGGGGACTGAGTCATCTATCTGCCGCCCCGACTGGGAAAACCGAGAGGTCTGCTGCTTGCCAGGAGCTAGGATACACAATGTGACGGAAAGACTGCCAAGACTCATCAAGCCCTTGGATCGCTACCCCTTCCTGCTTCTCCACGTGGGCACCAATGATACTGCCAAGAATGACCTTGAGCGGATCACTGCAGACTACGTGGCTCTGAGAAAAAGGATAAAGGAGTTTGAGGCGCAAGTGGTGTTCTCATCCATCCTCCCTGTGCAAGGAAAAGGCCTGGGTAGAGACCGTCGAATCATGGAAGTCAATGAATGGCTACGCAGGTGGTGTCGGAGAGAAGGCTTTGGATTCTTCGACCATGGGATGGTGTTCCAAGAAGGAGGAGTGATAGGCAGAGACGGGCTCCACCTAACGAAGAGAGGGAAGAGCATCTTCGCCAGCAGGCTGGCTAACCTAGTGAGGAGGGCTTTAAACTAGGTTCACTGGGGGAAGGAGACCAAAGCCCTGAGGTAAGTGGGGAAATGGGATCCTGGGAGGAAGCACAAGCAGGAGAGCGCAAGAGGGGAGGACTCCTGTCTCATGCTGAGAAAGAGGAACGATCGATGAGTTATCTTAAGTGCCTGTACACAAATGCAAGAAGCCTGGGAAACAAGCAGGGAGAACTGGAAGTCCTGGCACAGTCAGGGAACTATGATGTGACTTGGAATAACAGAGACTTGGTGGGAGTAAACTCACATGACTGGAGT